GTCAAAAATTTGTGTGCCCATAAATTTGTTCTTAGCTTTGTGCTCGGCTTTTAGCTCGATAGTATAACATATGCTAAATTTACGACAATCCTTGTGTCTGTCACCTATTTCATAGCATATTAGGTTTCGAGTATCCACAAATATTAGTACGCTTTCAACAATTATGTTTATAGTTACACGTATACTAACATTATGAAGTGAAAATTTACAACAATAAATAACTATACTAAAGAAAATTAATTAAAAAGAATACCATCCGTAAAGCTCAAGAATTATTAGTGAATTAGTTGGTAATCTATTATCCTCTTGCAAAAAAATGGACAATTACATTATGCTCATCGCTATTTTTGGAAGGTCAGATGATCAACAATAAAAGTCGGGGAATTTCAAGAAGATTCCCAAAGATGTTTCCCTCCCTCCAGGCAAATGATCGACTTTGCTTTTGCTAGTAGAGAATGGAGCTGTTATACCTGCATAAAACAATGTCTCTTGAAATAGTGTTTATTTTAAACAACTTGCACAATTCCAAATTGATTCATAGGTCAACGCTATCACATATTTTATTGACGTATCTGTTGATCATTATAATTAGAAGCAACAAATAAAATGAAAAGCATAGTGATAAAGATGACTATTAATACCATAGACCGATAGACGCATCCCTCTTCGCTACTTTCTGCTGGCAACTACGGAAAAATAGAAACCTCTGGGCCTTCGAGAGACTATTGGCGCCGGCAACCCAGTTAGCCTACCAAATCCGGCAAATGCGAGTGCAGATTGATCAATCTTCCAGGAGGATTGGGCAGGTTCTCGGGGAGGCTACAGAGCGGGTGGAAAGGGGAAATAGAATAGGGTTTGGGATTTTCACAAAAAGGCTACAATTTCCCCTTTATTAGTTGTTCTGGGCGTCGCCGACCAAAGTGAAAACGCGTCTCCGAGTGCCCAGGTGCCTAGATCAATCGCCCAGAGCTAGACTGGGCGATTTCCTCCTGCCCAGCTATTAATCGCGCCTAGGCGAGAGATTAATCGCATCTTCTTGAACACTGAATAAAAGTGGACCAAACAAAGACATTACATCCAACTCATTTCAGTTCCATCTTAACACAGTATTGGAGGCATGTACTATTATTATACAAATGATCTTACGCTCTCAATTAGGAACTAAACGAAGGTTAAATGCTTGATTGGCAAACTAAATCGATGAACCTAGTGATCTTAAAGAAAAAATTAATGATCACATGATTTCTTGGACCAAACTACTAAAGGAAAAAAAGAAAAAAGAGACCGTACATTAGCATAAGAACTCAACAAATTACTTATAAGAACTAATGACATAAGGAAAATGTAAACTCAAACCGTTCTTCCGAAGGTCATGGATTAAATCATTAGTTGTCGATTACATAGCCTAAACTGCAAGTTATATCCAAAATAGAGGCAATTTAGAAACAAAAAAGTTAGATAAGAAAGCCGTGAAACACAGAAAAATTGAGTGAACAAAGTGGGAAGTATTGCTTTCAATTAAGCTTGATTATGTTGACATAAAGCAGACACACATTGACGTTGGAAACCTAAACAAAAAGCTTAAAAAGTGGCAAGAGAATTCTTCCCTTGAGGTTCAAATATAGCCTACCTATATGAGTAGAGCCAAGTAATTACCATGATTCCATTTTACACATACCATCTCACAACCAACTGCTGCTAATGCTCTGGTCCATTCCAAACCTCACCTGCTCATATCTCCAATACCATATCACGAAACCAAGAATTATACACAACTAAAAGATCCAATAAGGAGAGTAACTTAGCATGGAACTTTGTGATGGGGGCAAATTCTATGGTCAGTATTAAGCTGTGCAAATTATATCACCTCTGCAAAGCTCACTACTTCCAGTAGTTTCTCACAGAACCAGCTACCGTCCTAATCCCTTCCTTCCTTCCTTCCCAGGGCCAGAGTGTGAAAAATGGCGTCCATCTCCGCCAAAACCACAGCTTCTTCCTTCATCCATGCATCTCTCCGTCGCAACCCCTCTCTAGGGGTTTCCTCCGCCCCAGTTCTCGGTGAGTACTCTTGACGCCCCCTCCCCTGAAATTCACAATTACCTCTGGCTTTTGTCAATTCAGCTTGGGGGAACCAAGAAATTGAATCGATTGGGTGATATGCAGGGCTGCCGTCGATGGCGAAGAGAGGGAGAATGGTGAAGTGCTCGGCGGAAGGAAACGGGAAAAACGGCAGCGGGTGGGAGAAGAAGGGGATGATAAGCGCTTCGCTGATGGCGGCGGTGGCCGCAGAAGCTGCGTCGAGCCCAGCGGCGATGGCTCCTCAACGGATGCGAGTAGCTGGAGCGATTTGTAGCGACCTTCTAGAGGCTGAAGCAGAGAAGAAAGAAGAAGTAGGGTTCGTGGCGGCGGGGGAGACGGTGGTGGCGGCGGCAGTAGTTGTGCTTCTCGCCGGAAGGAAAGCCTCGATCGTCGACAACCTCTTCGCCACGGAGATAGTTCGCTGCACTCCCAAACGCGATCTCCTCAGTCGCAGCAGAAGCGGGCCGTCACTGCTTTCCGCCACTGACCACCAAAACGTCTGGTCGTCTTCCCATGAACTCAGCAACAGCCGGCCGTCAGCGCCTTCCTCCGCTGAACACGAAACCGTGACCCCCTCTTACCAGAATTTTCCGATGGAAACTGATTCTCCTCCTATCCTGCGTTTAGGCGAAAGAATAACGTGGGAACCCAGTAGAAAATGTGGTATTTCAGGCAAACGAAAATTAAATGAAAAATAAATAATAACTAAATGATAACGTGGGAAACCAGGAGAAAAAGGTGGGTAGTGGACGATTCTTAGTTCTGCAATCTGGCGGGGAGTTATATTTTTTTCCCGCTCAACACCCTGCCACATCAACTTCCTAAAATCACTCTATGGACAGGAAAATTTGAATTGGGGTGACGGTTTTACTTTTCAGCTATAAATTATACTGTTGATATATGACGACCGTGTATATATATATATATATATATATATATATATATATATATATATATATATATATATATATAGTGCCTTCTACGGTACCCCGGGTGAAATTCGGGGTACCGCATACCCTGAGTATGAAAACGCTATCTAGACCTCGAATTAGCAGGGTTTTTGGGCATGATACTATACCCTAACCCTTAATGAGTGAACCCTAGGTCCTAATTATCTGAATCATAAACTATAAACTCTAAGATGGTGCATTGATTTTTTTGCCTATATTTGGACGAATCATAACCGTCGATTATTATTTCTAACTAAATTGATCTTGGGGTATAAGATTAGGTGAATTAAGACCTATATTTTGATCTTTATGAATTAGAGTATAGTATCATGTCCGAAAGATCAGTCAATTCAAGTTCTAGATAGCGTTTTTTTACTCAAGGTATGCGGTACCCCGGATTTTACCCAAAGATCAGTCAAATCACTCTATGGACAGGAAAATTTGAATTGGGGTGACGGTTTTACTTTTCAGCTATAAATTATACTGTTGATATATGACGACCGTATATATATATATGGGGTCAGACTGGCGTACGTCAGACGTATACTATACGTCAGGTACTACTAGTGAGATATCTCTATTTAGACCATGAATTAAATCGAGAATGGAGTATGATACTATACCCTAACCTGTAATGGATAAACCCCAGGCACCGATTTTCTAAACCCCAACCCGATGTTTGATTTAATGAAAAACAAAAACTGACCGTTGAGATTGGCTGGAGCTCATCTAAGTACATCTAACAGCTAGATCACCTGTTGTATACTATACGCCTGACGTACACCAGTCATTACCTATAATATATATATATAATTAATACGTATACTTATCCGATCGATAATCCGAATTTCGCCGAAATACTATCAAAACGCTCGATTTTAAATCGTGAACTTTCTAGCGATCGAAATATTGGTTTTGCCGAAACGGGATGTTACAGCAAAATATTGATTTTTGTGGTTAGTGGTTAACCACTACCCACAACGGTTTACCCAAAAAACCCACATTAACCACATTAGTTACATTATTTTGTGAAACTTGGAAGACTAAGAATTAAGGTAGCTACTAAATCAAATACGTACTTATTCCATAAAACAAAACCAAGTCAATACGCAATGTTCATGTGAGATACTTTTATCAAATAAGCATTATCCGTGTGGTATATGTTTATTTTATAACAAAACCAAGTCCATAGATATAGTCAAATAAATTAATTGATTCGTTAGAAGAGGGAAATAATCGATAAAGGTTAGTTCGATACCCAAACTCATCTCCATTTCTCCATGAACTCACGAACAACACAACATGCAACTAGCTACCAACAATACAAGGCTATGATCGAGAGTGGATAATAATCTATTCATTAAAAGCGAGTGCCTCCACTTATCGAGCCACTTTTGTGTTTTGTTGTTGTTGCCATCAGAGGAGCCGTGACATGCAACGATGTTTGTCTGGTAACGGGTCACTCCCACCTCTCCGTTATCTTCAAATCTCTTTCGAAATCCATCTCTTTTGAATTTACACTAACTAATCTCTTGTATTCTAGATTTATAATTTATTTAGCACTTTATTAACTTTCTTTTATGTATGTTTTTGTTTTTGTGTGAGAAGAAATACAACTTCACTATTTAATTATCATATTATTTTATTTAATGATACAAATTTTATGGGTATCCACAACCAACCCGTAGCGGATAGTGGTTAACTACTACCCACCGCGGAACGGGTTATATGTAGCATAATTCTATATTTGTGGGTGGGGTTACTCGCAAAGTCCGTCAACATCCAAAGCTAACTTGGCTCAGGGCCCGTACAGTGATCAGGTTAGGACTTGTCCTTGAAAAGCCTAACTAGCTCTTTTTGGTCCAACATAGGCCCGTTTTTTACACTCGACTATAGCGACAAATCTCAGTTCAGGCTGATGAAGTGAGATTTGTATCTCTAGGCCCAACCCAAACGGCCCAAGAGTTCCGCATCGCCATTCGCCACCACCATCACCATCTCCTCTCCTTCCATCCTAACCTACCGTCAGGGAATCACTCTTTCGAATTTTGCGCCACCGCCGACTGAAACCTTCTCTTTCAAACACCGATGTCGGCCGGAAACCTTCTAGCCTCCGGCATGATGCCGGAGTCGCTCTCTGCGTCCGGTAAGAGCTCCGAGAGGCTAAGCCTTCCGTTACTCCAATCCAAAATGAAGATTGACCCCGAAGGTTACACGACGGAGCTCGGTCTCATCTACAACCAATTCATCTCTGCTCTTGACCTGTTCAAGCAGCAGGCCGCTATCAGTTTCTCTTCCGGCGCCTGCGCCGACGCCAGCATCTCTAAGGAGCTCGGCGACCGCACTCTGTTCCTGGCTCACGTCGCGCCGTTCTACGCCAAGCAGCTCTCCCAGTTCCCCCGGCAGCTCGTCGAGTTCCTCAAGTCGTCGGCGCGGTCTCTACCGTTTGGATTGAGAGCCCACGTTACTCAAGCTCTTATTCTCCTAGTCAATCGACAGGTACGGTTTAATCGTCGGCGCCTGCTTTGATTTTAATTTGAATTTTTGTCGGTGAAATTTTTTGGTTGCAAAGTGCTTATTTTTGGACGCTACTCGATTTCCAGATGGTTGAAATTAGTGAGACTTTGGCATTGTTTATGGAGCTTCAAACTGTGGGAGATAGGAACTTGAGGAAATTGGCTTTCACCCATGTCATTCAAAGTATTAAGCGCATGAACAAGAAGCATAAGAATGAGACCAAGAATCGGGCTCTTCAAAATATCCTATTTACAATGTTACAGGTTCTTGCTCCTTCAATTCAAGCTGCTGATAATAGTTTGTATAATTGCTTGGAAGTAATTTTGTTATTGAGATTATGAGTTGTTCTTTCTTGGGTACCGGTGTTAACAGCAAGAGGATGAAGCATTGGCAAAAAGGGCGCTCAATACTCTGTGCGAGCTTCATAGGAGGAAGGTTTGGTTTGATGATAGAACAGCAAATGCAATTTGCATGGCTTGTTTCCATTCTTCATCAAGGTATGAACTTTAGTACATGTCTTTTTCTAGCAGCAGGGTGAAACATATAAATCGCTTTAGCCTTGATTGAATAATATATTAATATGGTTGTGCTTCGATCTATCAGAATAATGATTGCCGCTCTGTCGTTTGTACTGGATTATGAGAAGATTCAAGAGGATGACGACAGTGACTGCGACGATTTGAGCAGTGATGATGAGGCCAATCCCCAAAATGCTCATATTGTCATTAGTAAAGAGGCTGTTTATAAGGTGACTTGATGAATAGGTTATGATGATGTTGTGTGCTTTGGTTGAACTATCTACAATTAGTTTGTTATGACAAGATCATAGCTGAATTGTTTTGAGTTACATGACAGGCAAATCATTCAGGTACTTCAGCTAGTAAGAAGAAAAAGAAAGCAAAGCTGCAGCGTGCCATTCGTAGCATGAAAAGGCAGCAGCGGCTGTCTTCTGAGAAAAATAGTTCGACTTATTATTCACCACTTAACCATCTCAAGGATGCTCAGGTTATTGTTATCCCTTTGCCCTATGATTCTTGGAAATCTGTATGTTGGGTTAAATGGAAAATTTCTTTTCTTGTAGGGATTTGCCGAGAAACTTCTTTCTCGTCTTCAGACTTGCAATGAGCGTTTTGAGGTATTGTGTGAATCTTGTTTACATTTTTTTTTTTGTTTTTGGTATTGAGTAGTGGCGATAAAACATAAACTCCATTTTGCTGATGATATACTTCTGGCCCAGATTAAGATGATGTTGATGAAAGTTATTGCTCGTACTATTGGACTTCACCATTTGATTTTGCTGAACTTCTATCCTTTCCTACAGAGATATTGTCAGGTAAGAAACTTGACTGGTCCTTTATTGAAACCTTTCTGCCTTGTTCCGACGGCAAATGTTAACCTAACCGACTCTCTCTTCTGCAGCCACATCAGCGTGAAATCACAAACTTGCTTGCCACAGCTGTTCAGGCCTGTCATGATTTGGTAATGCAGTTATTACGTGGATGAGTAATCCAGAGAAAACTTATCTTTGTTTCTTGGAATATTTGTCCTGTCTAAACTGTGCGAACACTTTGCCTTGCAGGTGCCTCCTGATGCGGTTGAACCTTTATTTAGACAAATTGTAAATCAGTTTATACACGATGGTTCCCGTCCAGAGGTATCATTTCTGAAAGCTGTGTTATTTGTTTAATTATCTCTTGTGAATTGGCTGCAGTAGTTTTCTAACTGGCTGTTGCTTGCTTCTTTAGGCAATTGCTGTTGGACTTAATGTCATCAGGGAAATATGTGTACGGATGCCTTTGGTAAGTGCTTTCCCCCTACCAAACATTCTATCTTGTTAGTATTTTTTGTGCTTGGATAGGCGCTATAAGAAGATAATACTAATGGAAATCAATTCTTTGTTTCTGGTGTGTAGTTGATGACTGAAGACTTGCTCCAGGATCTTGTGTTATACAAGAAAGAACATCAGAAGGCCGTTTCTGCTGCTGCTCGTTCACTCATGGTCTTGTTCAGAGAGGTATGAACTTCAGTGTGTTGATTGCTTTGGTAAGACGTAAGGAGGTACTTGTTTTAGAATTTTAGTAAAGTGAAGGAAAAATGTATTTGGTTGGGTTTTACTTTTTAGAAGGGTTGAGTTGATATTGATGAGGTGTTTCAGTAATAAAAAAGTGATTGATGAGATGATGGATAGTTTTTTTCTTCTTCTTGAATTGATAGATAGTTTGTTAATAAGAAAGAGATGGGTGAGTTTTGGGAAATACCTACTTTTAATACAACTGTGAAGATTTATTGTTTCAAGGACGCCAAGTGAGATTATATCAGTGAGGTGACTTCTAAAGGGTTCGTTTGGAGAACGGGATTTAGGGCATGGATTCATTGAATCCGTAGATTTTGTAGAAAGTTATGTTTTTTTGTTGCTTTTTGTATTGTGGTTTTTAGTTTTAGAGATTTCAAATCTCTAAAATCTACGGATATCAAATCTCTCATAATCAGAGAGATTCTATATCTTGATTCGTGAGATTGTTTTCTTTTATTTTTTTCTCTTTCTTTTATTTATTTATCATATTAAATATATTTTAAAACAAACTTTTTAATATTTTTTGAACCACTCTAATTTTTATTGAGGATAAACATGTTCAATATAAAATCAAATTTTTTATTTTCATTGAATGTTAACAATCACAGTTACCAAACAATAAACATTTTCAAATCTATTTTCAACAATCCTAAGAGTTAGAATCTTTAGATTGTTGACTATCTATAGATTTAAACTCATTCTCCAAACGACCCCTATGTTCTAACTTCTAATAATTTGTGTCATTTAAGGTGAATAGTGGTTCTAGAATGTCAGATTGAAGACATTTTGTTTGTTTTAGCTTTCAAGTCCAATTTTGTAGAAGTTACTTATTTCCCCCGTCCTTCCTACTTTCGTCTACTTTTTGTAGGTCTGTCCTTCACTTTTGGTTAAAAAGGATAGAGGTCGACCAGTAAACCCAAAGGCAAGGCCAAAAGCATATGGAGAAAATCATGTTGCCTCTGCAGTTCCTGGAACCGAATTGCTAGAAGGTGATTATAATTCTGATAGTGATGATAAAACTGACGATGATAGAGATGACGAATCTCAATTCCATGGCTCTGAGGATGATGATGATGGTGTGCCGGCTGCAAGTGACGAAGAGGAAGAAAATGGTACGGAAGATGAGGATGGAGGAAGTGACGACGAAGATGATTTACTAGTCGGCTCAGATGATGGCGAGAGTGAGAACAGTGTGGATGAAAATGACAGCGATCTTAGCAGTGATGAAGGAGATGAAAATAATAGTGATTATGAGAAAATGGATGATGCAAATGATGGTGCTGAAGTAAGCAATTCGAAGTCAAATAAGAGAAAGCGATCTGATGTGGATGAAAAACTACTTGTCTCTGGTGACTCGAGTCTCCGAGCTCTAAAAAGATTGGCAGAAGAGAAGTTTAAACCTCAACAGGACGAAGGAGAAGACGGTATTCTGTCTAATGAGGACTTCCGAAGGATTAAGCAACTGAAGGTATGTTCAAGGTTTAGATGAATGTAGATTGGAACTGAAATTTGATTCATAGCCCTCTTCCATATCTGCAAATCCTTGATGCTTTTTGTTGGACTTTCCAGGCCAAGGAGGCGGCGAAACGTGCTTTGGGTCAGCACGGCTTCAAGCAGCCAACCTCTGACCCGACAAAGCCTCTGGACCCTAGCAAGCTCGAGGCAAGACAAAACAAAACAAATCTAATTGATTCGATCTTGCATGAACTATTATGCAAGTGTGTTTAGATGTTAACAATCTTTGCTTCCTCTCTTCAATCAGGCTCACATCCGGCACAAGCTAAACAAGGAACAAAGACTTGCACTGGTGAAAGCCGGAAGGGAAGATAGGGTTAAGTACCAGTCTCGAACTGCTATAAAACAGAACAAGGTACGTATATGCCTGATCATTTTTTAGTTTTATTTCCTTTTTATAAATCCTAAATCTGCAAGTAATTATAATATGATTGGTTCTGGGAGCAGACTGGTGGCATGAGCAATCGACAGAAGGAGCACAAGAAGAAGATGCCTCTGGCTGCAAAGAGACACAAGATAGCCAAGTCTCGAGTGGAGAAGCGGAAGAAGGTCGATCGCCTCGGTAAACAGTTCCGCGGCAGGAAAGCATGGAAATGAGCACGACATGTGACAACAATCCTGAGTTTTGTTTCCCTTGCGAATTTTGGAAATTTTGGTTCCTCATTGCTATGAGCATCGACTATTTGTTACAAAAACAGAGTCTTAGTCTGGATGTCAATCTGTACAAGTATGTACCATGATCTTCATTCAGCATTTTGACAAGTAGGTACCATGACCTTCATTCCTAAACATTTTCAAATGATATCTACAAGAATGGTATGAAAAAATATAGGGTTAAAGACACGTTTGGTCACTGAGATTACAAAATCGGGACATGTTTAGCCACTAGAAAAAGTTAATATCAAATTTTGTCACTACAATTACTAAAACCGGACACATTTAGTCATTCGCCGTTAGTCTCCGTCCAACTCCGTTAATGAAGTCCGTTAAGTGCTGATGTGGCAAACAGAATTGCCTAATCAGCCGGATATAACCCAACAAAAATAAAACCCGACCCTCCACGTCATTATAACCCGTCACGTCATTAAAACCAACCCAACCCAACTCATGACCCAACCCCACCCAACCCTTCTTCCTCCTTCCTCCTTCCTCCCACCTCGGCACCTCCCACCTCCTTCTTTCCCCAAAACCACCGCCGCCGCCGCTCTCCTCCTCCCTCCCACCTCTTCCCGCAAAAGTCAATCCTTGTTCAGTGTAAAAGTCAATTTTCTTCTCCTTTCCTAATTCCAGTGCGTGAATTTGATGGTTTTTAGACTGTGGAATCGAAAAGGTTTCAGGGGGTTGATTTTCTGATTTTGGGTGTTGGTTTACAGTCTTCTGGTTTGGCGGTGAGGTTGTGCTTTTGGAAGTTTGGGAGTTTCTGATATGGGTTTTGCTTTGTTTTCATGCTTAGTTTGACTTGTGGGGATCATGGAATTGGTGCAGAACTCTGGCTCTGTGAGCTGAGGTTTGCTGTCCGAGATAATTGATCTTGGCTAGTTGTTCTTCGTTTGACTAGCTCAATAGAACTAAAATCTATGGTGCTGGTGTGTTTTCTTCTGGTTTCTTGCTGACAAATGGTGGGAGGAAGGAGGAAGAAGGAGGAGAGCGGCGACGACGGTTGTTTTGGGGAAAGAAGGAGGTGGGAGGTACCGAGGTGGGAAGAAGGAGGAAGAAGGGTTGGGTGGGGTTGGGTTGGTTTTAATGACGTGGCGGGTCGGGTTTTATTTTTGTTGGGTTATATCCGGCTGATTAGGCAATTCTGTTTGCCACATCATCACTTAACGGACTTCATTAACGGAGTTGGACGGAGACTAACGGCGAGTGACTAAATGTGTCTGGTTTTAGTAATTGTGGTGACCAAATTTGATATTAACTTTTTTTAGTGACTAAACATGTCCCGATTTTGTAATCTCAGTGACCAAATGTGTCTTTAACCCAAAAAATATATCAAGGTATAGTGCTCGTGAGCGGCTAGTTTTGAATTGCTTATGATCGGGCATTTTCGGATGGGATTATATGCAGCCTATGCCTTCTTGTCCGTATCCGTTCAGTTCATGTTCTATCCATTCTGATTTTCGTCATCCCTTCATACCTAAAATAGTTTTAACTTCATGTTGGATAGTCTGAAATAAATATCACTGAAATGGAATGGGGTCTGGACTGATTGTGGCAGACCAAGATTTCCCTCCTACCTGAATGTCCATGGGAAGTTGGGAACGCTACTACGGGCGCATTCTCGAGGTCAATTCACAGACAGACACCAAAGGGAAGGAAGATATGGAACATAAAAGAATAGCAAGAAAGCCAAAACGTGGAGCCTACAGCCTAATAAGTTACACACCATAACACAGCTGGTTCTGCTTAGTGCTTGCCTACTCTTCTTCTGCCGAAGAAGAGGACGAGGTTGAATCGACTGCAGTAGTGGTTTGGCCAAATATGTCCGGGATCCCATCCCAATCCTTCCTCTCTCTAGCTTCCCAGTACCCACCAGTGTAATGGTAACAACCCTCCTCGTCTCTCCGAAACCACCTCGGCTGCCATCCTCTTTCTTGCACCTTCCTTGCCTGCACTTACACGATAACAAAGCTTAAAACTTGGCCCATTCGCCTTCTTATACGCGCAACAACTTGGTTCAGGTGTGGACCGACTCGAACCAAAGCAAGATTTGCATTGAATCAACTTGGTTCAGGTGTGGACCTACTCGAACCAAAGCATGATTTGTATTATATCAACTTGGTTCAGGTGTGGACCAACTCGAACAAAAGCAAGATTTGCATTAAATCAACTTGGTTCAGGTGTGGACCGACTGGAACCAAAGCAAGATTCGCATTGAATGTGAACCGAATCGAAACTGAGAAAGAATGTGCTTTCTTCGATTACGATCCTCGATTTCCTTCTATTTTTTATCAGTTCTTATGTTGATACAGTCAGATCCTTGACCGGACCGACTATGCAGCGCGCTTAGCTTCATTGAGTGAGTCAATCATGGAAAGGAGTCAATCATGGAAAGGAGAATATACCTGTCTTTGTAACTGCTCAAGTCTCAGCTTTTCTGCATTTGCCAACTCGTACTCCCCGTTCTCGAGGAACCTTTGATCTGGCCGCAATCTAGAGTCAGTGGGTGGCAATTTGCCCGACAATCCAGGAGTGATCTCGTTTAAAGTTACGGCAAAGGGAGTGAGGTTGTATCTCGTTCTGGTGACTGATTTGTCTCTCTCCCATAGCAAGACGGCTTCCGTCATTGGGTCATAACCCTTTGGCTTCGTTGTCGGATCTCCCAGCACATAGTACATCGCTTCGTCCCACTTCCCAACCAGCATTGCCACCTTCTGTCCAGTCCTATTGTCCTGTACAAATCCATGAACCTGCAAGGACAAGGAGAAAACACATATGTTTCCATGTGAGATCACTGTGTTTGGCGCAATTTTTTCCCAGGAGTTTTCTGGTTTCAAAAACCACAAGACAGGCCAAACATTGGAGCTAGTCGAGATTCTCAAAAGCTCTAAACAGAACCTCAATAGTTGTTGTAGTTGTTTGTTCGCAGATATGAGGATTACCTGGTGGGGATTTCGATCTATGATTGACTGCTCCTTGAACTTCAGTCTGCAGGAGTAGGTGCCACTGCCTTTGATTCGCATGGTGCCGTAGTGATCACAGTACAGTTTGCCTAGAATGATGTTGTATATAGACGTCGTCACTTTGCTCCATTGGAAGGTCTCACCGTCTTCAAATCGAAGAGTGAGAATGCCGACGGGATCGAGTTGAATAGACCTCCCCCAAAATTTGCCCTTGAGATTGGAGTCTCCCCAGAATGTCCACCCTCTTCCCTCACAGTGGCAGGCGACAACCATTGGGTGGTGACTGACCTGAATACAACAAACAGCTCATCAACCTATTTCCCTGGTGCTGAAATAGAGATGGCGTAGTTGTCATCTACTTGCAGGACAATGCAATACAATGAGGTCGTTTGACAGATGGATTTCTAGTGCTGAATTATGCCCAAAATCCAGAGTGGGTGGATTATTATTAAATCAATTGTTTGGCTCACCAAAATACAATAAAGCACTTTATCCATTTGTAAATCATAACCCACCACCTAAAATTGGGAAGTCCATCAGACCACTTAAACCATGTTATCCTTTTTTAATATTACAAGAGATGACATATTGATACTTCACATTTAATTATGAATCCCACCCACACTACACTTACAACAGTCCCCTCAAATAATTTATCAACCCTATAGATTTCTACAACTATTATTACTGAATCAATCAGCCAAAAAACCCATGATTCCAAGATGCTGAATGTGATTAAGTATACCATGGATTAGGTAAGGTATGGATATGCGAGAGGCAGACCTTTTCAGAAAAGAAACGCAGGCCTTTATCTGGATAATCGGCTTCGTAAGTCTCTCCAAGTAGAGGGTTGAACGGCTTACATTGGCGGCCTTCCGTTGAGGCATACCCAGATACAGCAAAAGCCGCAATATTCAGAATTCTCATCAGGTCATTCCCCTGGACAGCATAAAGCCCATGTAAATATGAACTGAAAAGTAATGAGTCTTAGATGATGCACGGTAATCAAGCTGTTAGACGAAAGCAAAAGCTAAGCAAATCCTGACCTGCTTTCCCCATTCCAATGCTTGATCGACCAAATGTGAGTACTCCAAATCCTCAAAGCACTTCTGGAGGGAGGATATTGGTTCATTAAAATATACAGGAAGACAAACTCCAGACAAGTCCTTCCCGATGTTGTCCTTGATAATGGACCACAGGCCAACGGGCTTCTCTTTCTCCTTTGGTTCCGGCAAATTGTCTCGTCTCTTAACCAATGGATATTCAGTTGTCACAATATTATCCTTCTGAATGTGTTGCAAGCGATCAGAGCAAAAAACGTCCTTGTCATGTATACATGCACTCCCCACTGAATCCCTAGTACTCCTATACGAAGTGCTTCTCATTAGAGCATCAGCAGACAAGAAATCGTTTGTGTCAAAGAACTTCCTGTCTTCTTCATCAGTTTCAGCACCCATCCCATCTTCTTGACTTTCGTTGTCAGCATCCGAGTCACTAGCACTGCCTTCTGACATCACCGAATAGAAATCTAAGACAAAGAGGGAAACATATGAATATCAGCATATATTTTACACTTTTGAAGATGAGCCTCCAGGAGGACTTTTACCATGCAGAAATAAAGAAACTAAATACTGAATATGAAAACAGAGCTCTAATGCTAGGCACATGTGTCCTCGTTCCGTGTTTTGTAGCACCGTGTATCGCAGACATGAATTTTAAGAAGATACACATATTGTAGATGTGAATACAAGGATGTGTGAAATGTCTAGAATACGGTGTTTAGTTTGTTGGATTCCAATGGTCAACCCCACACAATTGGATGTATTGCTGAAATCTTCAATTCCAAAATAATTCATATTGTGTATTCTGAAAATAGATATGGCTGAAAAACATGGGTTTCGTACCATATTCAAACAAGAAACAATGACTTCGTCAGAAACTATGTAGTCACTTAATCACCAAGAACAACTGCTGGTTACCAAGCAAGGTTGATTACAGTGATGTCAGCTTATAACAGATTCGAACCTTTCACATTTACATGCAACCTAACTAAGGGAACCATCAACAAGCTTCACATACAAGTAGCAATAACAGAATGGTCAAAGGGGCCTTCGTTCAACATCAACTATTACACAAATATAGACAATCAATTCCGATATCGTAAGAAATAGTAAGGTATAACATGGCAATGCTAAAGATCA